GACGTACGAGAGCATTTGGTCTTTCGGCTAATGCATTGTAATAAGATCAGCGAGTGCAACTTTCCAAAGTGCCATTTATTGTCGTTGTACCCTCCATTTACCAGAATAATTTCAGAGTGGGTGCCGCTTTCTGTTTCAAGAATATCACAAAATGCTCTGGGCATCCTTTCAAACATGAGGAGTATTAAATAGTGTATAAATACAGCGTTTTATAGAGACTCGGTAGCAAAAAACAAACAGGCTCTAGGCCATACATTTGGGGGCTGTTGGTAGGTGTACAACTACAGCGCTGTAGTTTATTGATCGTGCTAGGAGCCTTAGTTGTGTTTATCTGGCTGTGGTACCGCTACATAGGAATATTACTACCACATAAACAGTGACACATCGGTACTTAACTGTACTGAAAACAGAGTTATCGCGTGCAACCGTGTGCTTAGATTCAAGAACGCTTTAAAGAAGCCAGACATTGGAAATAATTCAGACGACATGCCTTATATATAATGTCGTGTAACTTAACTGAAAATTTCATCTTTGTTACATTGTCTTCAGTGTTTACGTGGTATTGTTACTGACTGACTGAAGGCAGTGGTAATTTTTGAAAAAGAAAACATGCTTGTCTCATTAATCAGGCTTTTGTTGTAGCACTGTCATGCACGTAATCCATCGATGAAAGCTTTCTGCTAAACTTTTATATAAGATTTTTATATTTTTACTGGTGCGAGAACATGCGCGTACATGTGGTAAATGCAGTATAGTGTCAGCCCCTGAGCCACTGAACGAAGCGCGGCTGTGAGTATTTGTATATGCGCCGTCGACCGCCTATCCACATTTGCGCGGGTGCGGTGCTGGCACCTATAGCCCGATCTCTGGGAGGTTGCCCGATATGACAAATCCTCGAGCCGCTATACACCAATGGCTGCAGTACCCTTTATTGGCTGCTGTGCTTTGCTTTAAGGCATCTTCATCATTGACCTTGGTGAGATCAGCTCCTGTGTCATCCCTTCTCTCCGCACATAACAATATGTTAAAAACAAAGTAGTGCACAACTAACTGTCTGACACTAGGCATGTAGCTTATGCCTTTCTTCATGACTTATCTTCAGATATAGGGGTGATTATTTCTACACTGTTATCTTCTGTCTTTTTAGGTGTTATGTGTTCTGGTTTTAGTGCCGTTGTTCTCTAGTGGTGTCGTTCTTCAAGGAGTGTTTAGGAGACGCCTCTGCTACCCATGTCTGCATTTACCCATTAGTCTATTACAAGATGGTCTGTTGAAGGCTGCAATTAAGTTTGGTGAACTACGTGTGTGTGTGTGTGTGTGTGTGTGTGTGTGTGTGTGTGTGTGTGTGTGTGTGTGTGTGTGTGTGTGTGTGTGTGTGTATGCACATGACAAGGTAATCATGGTGGTGTTATCGGGTCGCTCCACACCTAAAAATCTCGAACTTCTTTTATGAACCACCATGTAATGAAAATATGGAGATGAGAGCCAGACACCTTCCTATGTCGAAGGAATGAAAGCAACTACCTGTAACAGCGCCCTCTGCCGATGCTCGTGCTCTAAACCCTTTTTTATTTTATTTGCAACACACCTTAAATTTATTTAGAGCAAACTTTTATGCCCATTTTGCAAAATATGTAGGTATATATCCATTTCGATGCACATGGCTGGGCAATAATGGTCAAATATTTTTCAAAGGTTGCATGTGCTAAGTCTGAGAAATAGTGAGTGCCAAAAATGAAACACCCTACCAAAATTACGCACCACGTAGAGTTTCACTCCGATGGCACGCTTAATTATGCTTGTTGAGTGCTTCTGATGGGACTTCGTACACGACTTTGAAGACTTCTGTTGTGTCTGTTTCAGCATATCTTTCTTGTTCATGCATACCCAACACACATAAAAAGGTCCTTAACATACTTTGTGCTTCTTATGCTATGCGTTTTTAGGATTCGTGGTTGCTTTGATGTATAATTTGATGGAAGGTTTGGTGCTAGGCAACCAAGCAAACATTTCCGGGAATCTTATTAAACATTGCTATATCTCTGTCTCCACCTATCTGGTAAATATACCACAGTGCCACACAGGTAGCACCTAACTAAATCATACAACAGGTCACAAAGTGTGCTGCAAGCATGGCTGCTGCCTTCAGATTTCACACAGAAAACTTTCAGAGGTTGGGCCTGCTATGATCGTGCAGAAAGCAAACGTTTACAAATATTTGTCCAGTTTGTTATACTCTCTTCTTAACTTACTCAACCGGTGAAGCACTGTTGTATCATGCAATTGGTCAAATGATTCAACGCAGGCCAAGTGTACGGCTCACTGTCAGTTAAGTACGAGTAAGAATTGCGAAATCAGCACATTTCCTACCAGGCTCAACACAATCCCCCACTGCGAACTCCGCGTAGGCTGCCAGGGCATCTTCTTCCCTGTTGTCGACGCGACGTTTCGCTGGCGGGCGGGCGACCGAGTTCCCTGTGGCTCTTTTAATGCCGTCGTGTTCAGCGAGCTGTTGTATGGTTGACGGCGGTGGCGTGTAGCCGCACTCGCGCGCTATGTCAGCCGCTTGCTGCAGGAGGTCCTCCAGTTCGGACTGCTCCTCTTCTGTACCAAACCTATTGCGGAGCCAGTAATCACAATTTTTGTCAATGGGAAAGAACAGTACATAACAAAGTCCAATACGAGACGCACTTGCCTCTTAATTTTCTTCTGATCCCGCGAAAAACGCAGTAGGATTAAGTTTAGCCTTTCCCTGACACTGCGAATGCCGAAGCACCTGCCGAGCACCTCGGAGAGCCGAGCGGCTATCTTCAGCTACCTCGCAGGGTCAAGGAAAGGATTCACACATAACACCTCTTTTACGAGAGCAATGTCATCGCTGAGCGTAAATCGCTTGCGCCCAGACATCGATGCCGTTGACGAGAGAGTGAATACATAGTCAAACAACATGTCCGCCGTTCGTGCTTCTGCCGGGCGGCCAAACTGGTAGGTCACAGAACATTTTGCCACGACAGACGGTGGTGCAATATCTGTATTGGAGATCCCTCTAGCTGACGTGTAAAACAGTAAATGCTGTCAAGCTTTAAGAAAAAAACTGAAGCCCTAAAACTGACACAAGCAGAATTGATTACAGTGCAACCCACACTAATTAAAAAATATTCAATCTTTATCATAACTGCTGTCTTTTGGTTGGTCATGACGGCATCCAGTGGACATACATGAAGCTAACCAAGCAGTTCACATGATCTGGCATAAAAGAAGAAACAAGATAATCATATCATGAGTGCCAGATTAATAAAGTAAAGTTTAGGCAGCTTACTCAACATATGGTACAATCACAACACTTTTCTGCACCGTTGGAGACCACTCACATGGACTTAGGAGAATTTTGTAAAAAAAATCCAAAGGTTATGGCTTGTAGAAGGTTGGTGGCAGAAAAAGCAGAAAAGGCGATACCAACAGTCTGATTTTCTTTCTAAACTAAACAATGTCTAACAAAAAGTCAGTATTAGTGAGACAGTGAACCAGATTAACAGAGTCATCAACCCAATAAACGTGCAAACAGACAGCGAATTGCCCTCAGGTTTACTGCTCCATGTCATTCAGCAGTTAATGGGCTAGTGAAGCCAGCTAATTAAGACATATTGTAATACTTAAGCATGTGTACAGACTTCCCAGAAGGATTGAAGAGCTGCCTTTAAATGACGTAGCTCATCGTGCACAGACCTAAAAAAACATCTCTTGGGTGCACACTTCTTATGCATTTTTACATACTGCAGCCTCAATGAAGCTATTGCAGGAGTGGAGAAAGAAAACAAGAACAAAAATAAACATTCATGAATGAACCTTTGACTGCTCCTGCGAAGCAAAATATTTACCAGCAAACGTGGCTCTGAGTTGAAATGATGATCAGCCTGACAGAAGAGAGAACTAAAGAGGGTAAGGCTAAGTACAGAAAGAGGGTGAAAAGGAACTTCGACAAAAAACAGAATACAGCTGTACCAAGAATTGAGGTTCGGGACTTGGTGCTAGCGATGAAAGAATTGCAAAACTCAGCAGCGAGTCACAGAGGGCCATTCTCTTTTGTCAAAATGGCAAGCCAGCAGGGACACAAAAATGGATACAAAGATGACTCTGAGAAAGTGAGAAGCAAATAAAATCGTGATAAGATACAATATTTCTTATATTAAAGTCAGGTTTCCCATGGAACATCAGGCAATTCTAGGGACTTTATGCTACAATCTGGCTAGTTGTGATGACATCAGGTACCAAAATGGCCACTCAGCGTCACAAAATCTATCAAAATGACTGCTTGTGGGTTTGCAATGGAGCCACAGTGCGTAGCAGCCGAGAGAGTTTCAAGATTTCTCGCACAAGCACATGACGAGGAGCTCATATTGTGTTACGGTGTCAGGGCACTGTAGATATGGAAACAAGCTTTTAAAATAATATTGTAATTACTTTTGCGGAGTGCACTTGCACTTTGCAGTACATTTTCTAGATCCTTGAAGGTTAGGCCTTTTACTTCATGCAAAGTAAAAAAATTTTGCAGTTAGTACCCCTTTATCATCCGGGGAGGTAAGAAAACAAGTGCTGTGAAAGTGAAGCAAGCTTAAGCAGTTGCAAAAGACAAATGATTTCTTGCATAGGCAACTAGGAGGACTGAGGTATTAAATAAAGAAGTTAGAAATGATGACAAGAAGAGAGTGTGTCTCTGTATTATGTGCAGTCTTTTTACATACCACCGGTTAGCAAATTGTACGATAGGCCAAGGTTAGTCTGCATTGAGAGAAAAATGCGAACTAACTTTTGCAAGATCACCAAAATTTCAGTATGTTTTTTTAAACAATGCATAACAATTGTGTGTGAATAGCATAGCATTGTGCCATTTTGTTAGTTACACCTTTGAGTATAATTATGGTAATAATGTTAGCATAATCTGTACAAATCAAACATTACCTGTCAACCTGAGGTGTAATGATGTTTTTGTTTTGTTTTTCAAGGAGCTAGAGCTAGCAGTGTTCCAAAGGGCCCAAGGAATTTCCCAGCAAGGTCCTCCAAACATATCACAAACTGTTCATAAAATGATAATTCACAGCCCTACAGCTAGTGTAGCATTCCCTGTCACGTGCACTCTGCACACAATCATAATTCATTTGCCTTACGCGAACATGCATTCTCTGTAGAAGGAAATGCCGAGGAGGGTGCAATTTTTAACACTACGCGCAGTTTAGCTGCAGCTGGTTATTATCTTCATGCACAGGACATCTGTCAATTATTTTACGAGTAAAGAATGCAAGCGCAAACCATTAACAATTCCGGATTACAGTTTTGATGCGCACACTGCAGTATTTCCCACACTAACTGGAGTGATTTGCAACATGGTGCTTACTCTGGGCACGCGATCGTAAATATTCACACATGCTTTCTCCAATACACAAAGCAGCTCTGCGGTGAAGCCTCAAGTAACGCGTGCGGTACTTTTTTGATTATTTTTATAGCTTTCGACAAACACGCAAAGCTGTGGGTTGCAGTTTAATTTTCTTTTTGTTGTGGTTTAATTTATTCCGCTGAAGTCTATGCGCACTAAATGCACTGTGCAACAGCAGCAATAGTCGTGCTCACAATGGGTAGCGTAGTAACCGAAGCTGTGCCCGCCCGAGCATCGTTTGCGAACTTGAGCGCACCGACGGTCTCGTAAGCAAGTATTTTATGGCTCTATTCAGAACTTCAAAAAAGAACTTACCGAGACCAGCATCTCAACGTCTTCTTAATCTTTACTGGATACGACGGTCCACTTCTGCGTGTCTCCTGCAGTCGTTGAAAGCGGACCAACACTGCCGGCGGCAGTGAAGTGCAGCTTCGGTAGAGGCACGCTCACAGCGTTTCTCGGCAGACTTGGAAGTTTTTACGCGTCCCTCCAAATGTTCGGAAGGCGTTTTTCACGATCAAGATCGCCTCAGCAAACACAGCGCGCTTATTTAGTCTTTGCCTGGAAGCTGCCTGCAGCATCATCATGGGCGCAGCCACGTTTGCTGACGACATCACGCACGAACCAATGAGCGCGTAGCTTGCGAGAGCCTTGTAAGAGCACTTGGCACCAGTGACCTGGTGCAGTGCATTGGGGGGGGGGGGGGGGGGGGGTATTCGCTCGCCTTTGTAAACTCGCGGTGGCCAGGACTGCCAGGGTAGCTATCATAAATAGTTATCATACTGCTAACATTGGGTGATGTCTTGGTATAAAAGCAATATACTTAAACAGACGTAAATGCAAATAAGAAAGTTTGCAGTCAGAACATTTATTATGGTTGTCCTGAAACAATAGTAAAAGCAGTCGTCTAACGACGTGGAGTTGCTAGATTTTGAGTTATCAGAGCTCACCTTGAACGTACCTCCATATTTCTTTCTTCGCGTTCCAGCAATGCACCACCGGCTGACTTCAATGCGATGATGCAATAATGTCAATGTCATCTGGCTGGATGCGCAAAATGAATTGTTACAAAAAAGAGCGATCATATAACAAGAAGTGTGTAAATCCTGTTTTTTGGGCACTTCATTTTCACAGTACGTGACTTACGTCACGTCAACGCTCTATAAACTAATCCCACAGTAATCTACTCCACACGTGACCACACTGGGAGCTGATGGCTGCTGCGAAACACTCCATGATAATCGTAAATGATAGCATCAATTCCAGCAATTATTCAGACACTCTCAGTCATTCAGGATGGTATGCACCGTTTCGACTGCGAAATTGTGTAAATTGTCACTCATTTAATGAGGTCGGCTGCAGTTTTTAGGAGACAGAATACTGCTCATGACACTGCTCTGGCAGGTACCTTCAAACATAAGGGCGCTCGGCATCGAACAGTACAGATAACGTAAAAATTTAGCGCACCCATCTGTAACCAGCGGTACAGTGGCTAGAATGGGAAAGTGTGACGAGCGCCAAGCGGCGCCTACGGAGCGCACTGAAGCCTCCGAGGAAATGCCGTGTGGGGGCGCGCCCAATCGTTTATACGTTGCACGTTTCCGACATTTTAGTCAGGCGCGTTCGTTCTAGTTTTTTCAATTGCGGTAGCACTCTGACACCAATGCTTCTGACGCGAAAACAAAGTCATTGCTTCGTCCCAGGGTTCACTACAGGCTACAAGTCAGCTAAAAAGAAGCATGCGTTGTTCGGCGTTCCAAAGGACGAAGCTCCGTTAGTGCAGTAGCGGAGAGTTATCCCGCGCGATGACAAGCTGCTTTAAAACTCGGCTGTGTGCGAGCTGCACTTCGGCGAGAGGTACATCTCTCGGCACCTCGAGCACACTGTGAATGGCGAAATTGTTCGCATTGAAAGGGGTAGGCCCATATAGGTGTGCTTGCCGTTTGGGGGGGGGGGGTGAAGATTCATTGCAGGGCGCCTTCTCCCTAATCAGTGTATGAGGCAGATTTTACGCCCCCTTTTAGATGACTAATATAGTGCCCCGCTGCCTAGTCAATGTATAGAACACATTTAGCGCCCCCTCCCAGGTGGCCAGCCCCCTCCACGCCCCTTGTGCGGACGCCTATGGGTAGGCCTTATGGAGAAGCTCTTCGCATTTGTAGATGCCCTTGAAATCACTTCTGCAAAGTGGTTTAGCTACAACAAGCTTCACAGTAACTGCTTGAAAGAGCTTGTTTCCTGCCTGAAAAAAAAAACGTAACTCTGGGCTGCGCACAACATGGTCCGAGCCTCACCAATCAAGTAACCAAGTTTTTTCCGCTCACCCACTTGCCTTTTTGCACAAAGGTACTCCACAAGGAGCGAGCATCTTCCCGTGAAAAGAGAAAGTACCTGAAGCTCGGGCGCATCACGTTGGCTTGCAGCCCAATGTTCTGTGGGGCGCTTGTGAACTTTAAAACTTTTTTCTTGTGGATAAAAGAGTACGCGCGACCAATTATTAAGAATGTATTGTTGTAAACAGATAGTTATTCACTACTCGTAAATGCGTTGTATGACCTGTGTGCAGAAAATTAAGTTTTCATCTAGATACCACTCGTGATTCTTGTCTCTGAGTATGACGTTATGATTGATGGAGCTTTATTTAAAGATTATAGCTTGATGAAATGATGGTTCGCCGTAGAAGGTGTTGCAAGCAATGGCTCACAACTCAGTTCATCATTCCACTCTCCTACCATTTCACATTAATAAAATGTTTCAGCGCCGTCACGCGCTCACTTTCGGCATCCTGTCGACCTGATGATATTTCAGTTCAGTCGCACACCCGCGTAGGAATCCTGTTTTCCAGACGCTAATGAACACGTTTTCTCGGTCGCCATTTGAGGCCATGCACGAGCAAAAAAAAATATTTTAAATGTTTTACAATGCCAACGCGCGTGGTTGATTCCCGTCTCTGCGCAGCGCATCGCTGCCGTGGGTGACGTGCAAACGTGTGCCACCGCCATCTGGCAGTTTCCTCCCAAGGCGTTACGCGCTGGCCGGCATGTTGATCACACTTTTCTATTCCAGCTACTGTACCAGCGGCGAGCAGCCGGAAGTGGCGTCAGGCACAATCCAATCACAACTCCTGATTGTTGGCATGCACTATTTGTTTCCTAAAATCAACTATTTTCAATTTAATAACATTTCTAAAGTGAACTTTTTCGGTACACTTGTAAAACTTATAACAACGCGCAGGTTTTGTATTGTTGTCAACATTTAGTTGTCATTACTCATAGTAGCCAGATTTTCAAAACAAATCTATAACAAACAAGTTTTTGTTATATTAATTCAAAAGGTTTTTGTAACATACTATAGACTCCTACATTTTTATGCATTAAAATTTAACAGTTTTATTTATTTGAACTATGTTGCCAACATTTCGAAAATTAAATTTTTTGTTGCCAGACTTTTCTATTTTCTATTTCAATAAATAATATTGATTGTTAGTTTGTAAACAAGCCGTGTTACAACGATGTTCATAAAAATATTACTGTTTGTTGTTGTTAATAACGTTTTTTGTATCAACAAAACTTAGGTATATTGGAGCAGTGTTTGCAAGTTTTTGTGTATTTGTTTGTACATGGCTGCCTTTGTATTGCGTTATTGAGGTTATTATGTTTGTGTGATTTATTGTTTCTAAAAAACAACAAAAAAGTGCATCTTGAAAACTTTTTTTGCTGCATTAGAAGTATGCTGGTACAGTAAGTGTAGTCACACGGTGATAAAGAGGCGGAAGGCGCACGATGAAAATGCTAAGATGATTCCTCGGCTATCCTTAAAGTTTAGATGACTCTACAATGCTGTCTCAGGACTTGTAGCGTTGTGTGATAGCCTCCCGATTGTTCGTGAAGGCAAGTTGACCGTTGAAGAGCTTCGAATGACGCAAGCGCGTCCTTATAGTGGCGCGCGCGCGCGCGCGTGTGAGTGTGTGTGCGCGTGCGCTCGCAAGCAAACATGTGTGAACATACATAGACGTTATTCGGAGGCACTCTCCTCAGCAAAAACACCCCCCAAAATAAAACAAACGTTTGGCTGCGTCTCTGACAGTGGAAGACCTGAGTTTCGTCGCAGACGACAGTGAAGCAGACGACAAACGTGGATTCGTCCTGATATCGGGCTATCGGCCGCAAGTGAGTACAACCGTGCCAGTATTCCTTACGAAAATTGAGGTGATAGTTTTTGCCTCAATAAAGATTGATGCACATGACTGTTTATTTATTGCAGCTGTATTTTTTGTGTCTTGTTCTTTTGTTGCACTAAATGGGGTCATACATATAACTTCAATAGCCGCTTCAGTGCCGCGCCGACGACTGACGGAATGACCGGCAGCGGGAAATTTGAACTGTGCAAAATAATCGCATGAACGTATTTTATCACAAATACTGCTTGAGGTCATGCAGTTCGCTCAAAGTTATCCAATTTGCAAACAACGTGGTTTAAAAAAAAATAGAGGTTATTTACATTAATTTATTCTAGAAAAGTGCATAACCTACAGTAACTAAAAATATCGTGATGAAACCCTGAAATCAAATTGAAGAAGCAAAATTATTTCTTTCATATGCTAAGTATGAACCTGGGGTTATTAATTATGTACAAATGTGGGTGTTCAACGAAGTGACTTAAACCTTGAAATCAAATTGAAGAAATATAATTAATTCTTTCATATGGTAAGCATGAACCTGGTTTTTTTTTTTTTATTATGTGCAAATGTGGGTGTTTAACGAAGTGACTTGAAGGTGAAACATAATATTCATTACTTGCAATCTTCTTTACCACAAGTTTGGTGAAAAGGAAACGAAAACAAGCATATATGTGCGAGTTTGTAGAAAGTGTCCATGAAAGCTAAACTGAGGGAAATGCATTCGGAGCCTACTTCGGGCGATGGGGCAACTCGATATTTTTCTCATCATCACACGCGGTTGCAGCAATCCAAAGGTCAGGCACATAGGCACATATTCTTTGCTGATGGTGAGGGGGGGGGGCGGCTTTTTATTTGAAGAGGGGGGAGGGAGTTGGGCAGGCTGGTGTGGTGAAGTGTTATATTGGGTTTTCTGTGCCACGGCAAAAAAAAAAAAAAAAAAAAACAGGGGGTAGGGGGTGGCACGTGTTCAGTGTGCTAACCCCTGGCCCCGCTACTGCCAAAAGTACGTTTCTTAATACGAGCTGCTGGGCACCGTCCAACCAAACTGGCAGCGGCGAATCCTTTTCCATCGATGTCACGTCAATCTCGTAAGTGTGCCGGTTGAAACATTCTTGCACCGGGTGGTGACGAGAAAAAAAGCGGTGAAAGGAGGGGGAGAGCCAGAGGTGCTCTGGCCCTCACACTGACAAAAGTCACGGGAGGACTAGGCCTCCTCCTTTTCGAGAGTGGTCACAGTTGGCAGCGTACTGGCAAATTAACTTTTTTGTTTCAAGTTTTCTTTCAACGCAGCTGATCACACTGCAATTTTATAATGCATTCCCTGATTTTGCAGTAGAGACTGTTTTCCGTGCCACACCGGCGAAAGGCAAGCGAACTTACGTGTGAATTCTTCACACTATACACGTGCTCTATATTATTGAGC